AAGAAAATAAGCAAAAAATTTAAAAGGTAAATGTTATTGCGTTAAAAGCATGGTAAGTGGGAATGTTAAAGCTATTAGGTTTGTCCGTCACACATTTTTCAGAGAGACAAGGGTGAAACTATGTCCTTTCCTAACATTATGAAAGTGCCTGTTTTAGAAGAAATGCTCCCTTTGCCTATGATGAACAGCTGTAGCATCATGGGCATTTTTAAAGAAGTGCTTTCAGCGTGCAGAAGAGCAACAGAGAGATTGAGAAGACAAACTGTACTCTTAACTCATGTTGGAATCCAAAAGGTTCTAGTTATTTCAGAATTAGAGAATCAGAGAATCAGAGAATTCAGGGTTCCCCTAGGGGCATATTAGCACTAAAAAACTAAATGCAGATGACAAAAAAATGTAAACCAATAATATGTAATAATATAGACCCCAAAACCATATATGTGTGTGTGTGTGTGTGTGTGTTATTATTATAATATAGAGAAAGAGAAACAGACAGCTAAGCGACAGATGGCTGGCATTTAGATATGTCCATTCAGTGCCTGTCTCTGGGTCACTTGCTAGGATAAACCACATGTGACAAGCTCATTGAAAGTAAGGCAAAGTAGTCCATAATGGCTTCACCTAATTTTAACTTACTATTAAGGGATGTATTTGTTCAAACTGCAAAATGAACCTGATCTGCACAGATTTGATTAAGCTTAGCTAGAAAATAAAATACCATATTAAAACAGTTCATGAACTATAAACTGTATCCACTTGCATTTTTTTCAGTGTATCATAAACTAGGAAAGAAAATCAGAGTACAGTAACACTCTTGTACACACTGACTTCTTGCAATAAAAACCTGAGTAGGCAACTTTGATACAGAGCAAACTTCTTCCTTATATTAAATTTTGATTTTATAGTAATTCTTTCTAAATGTGCTTTTACTAAATACCAAGCATGACTTCAATGGTTGAACATACTAGAATTTCAAGATAACAATCCTAGACTGGTCTCCTGCAAGCCTATTAGAGAGAATGTTTTAGAGGGAAGTTAAAAGAGTGACTGATCATTTCATAATGGATTCTTATCATACCACGTCAAAACCCAAACGGACAATAACTTTAAAGGAGCCAAGCAGAAGGAATAGTTGAATACCTTTAGGAAAAAAAAAGAGGTAAAAAAAAAAAGTTATCATGCCTTAAATCCTCCATTCCTTCATTTTAAATGCTGTTAATCAAAATCTTTATGACTTTAGATTAACTCATGTTTCTATAAAAACAGATTTATATTCACATCCAAAGAAATAAACTAATTTAGGAATGTATTAAGAGTTACAGTAGTTTTGACTCAAAAGTTGAAATTTTGGCTTAGAGTTGTTCCTTCCTCCAAGTTTCACCGACTGTTGCACAGTGGAATAGCTAAGAAACCTAAGAGTCATGTTGATGATCAAGGTTGGTTTTAACAAACTGCAAAATGGACAACAAGGAAATGAAATTTCAGAGCAGTCATAAACCCATTTTCCACTTCCAAACATTATCTTTTTTTTTTTTTAAGTAATGTATGATTTTATTCACACAAGGATAAAAATACACATTAGGTGCATTATCTTCTTGTTCATGTGTTATACATCCTAAAGGGCGTGCCATCAATTAGGTGACAGGTACAAAATGAAATCTGACTACAGAACAACAGTTCTGACATACTTCTGTTGCTTTGAAGCACAGGGATTTCTCTTTGAGTGTTATCTCTATGCAAAACCTAAGAGAGGATTTTTAAAGAGGGAAGAGTGAAAATGATGCAATGTTATCCTCAACAAACACATAAGAGGGCACAGAATTTGGAGTCAGCAAGTTTTTTTCCAGTGACCTAAACACCAAATTTCTCCAGAAAATGAGACAGCCCTTCAAGAAGTCATCATCATTCATCATGACTTCAAATTTGGCAAAGACTGCACATTTATAATTCCAACTGTACTCTAACCACAATTTAAGATTCAATACAATCATGGCTAGACTAAAGGCAAGGGGATGGGGTCGGGGATGAAGCTGAAACTATATATACTTTTTTATCAGATATGATGAATTCTATTCTTCCTAGCCATATTCTTAAGTTTAGCATTAAAACAGTTGTAAAATATTAAGTTTTACCATAGGGAAATTGATTTTGCTATGAAAAAGTTTCAGATTACCACTTAATCTCAACCAAGTTACATCAAACAGTGAAAATAATTACATATATAGTTTACAAAGTAAACTTGATCACCATATTTAAAAGAAATGATAACTTTGAGAAGTACCACAGCAATAATGTTTGAGCTGAAGCAATATAAAGCCTTCCTCCAGCAAATGCCAGATTCTTCAGCTAAAATGCAGAGTCTTGATTTAGTTAAGCAAGTCAAGCGTAAGAGCCATCTCCCTTCTCGCAAGCTGCTCCCAGCACTGGCCTCTCCTTCCAGAACTGTATTTCACAAAGTTCCTAGGGGGTAGTGGAATCCACATGCAGTTTACACAATGTTTTAAACTTGAGTGTCTGTAGCCTGAAACGCAGTAGTGGAAGTAAACACATTATCATCATCCTACAGTTTCCACTTGACTCCTCAGGTCTCCTCCAGTTCCACACACCAGGGAGTTGGAGGGCAGATAAAAATTATATCCCAAAAGCCACAATTTACAGAGCACTTTGGCACTGAATCGCCCACACATGCTATGCAGACATCCAGGAAGTTCCACGCTCCTATTAATAGGTATATCAGAATTTCTAGGATACATAAAAACTAAGTTTGATTCTCTTAAGACTTCATACTCTTTTAAGAGCATAGTACTGCATATGCAGTTCTGCTACTAAGAAAACTGGACTAAAAATATACTTCCAAATCATAGCAAAGTATAACTTATATTTACAGGCTCTCAACATCATATCAGTATATAATGTCTATCTATGTGTCATATATTGAGCAAGCTATCAATTAGATATGGATAGCTCATCACATTATGTTCATCTACGTAACTGAGTAGAAGTCAGGAATTTTGACATTGAACCCAACCTGCAGTATGTAAAGAACTTAACAATGATTGCCCACCATCAAAGCACAACTAATTTATCATCTCACTCACACTATTCTCCCTGTTACAAAGTCCTCACACTTCTGACTGATGACTAAAGAGCACATAATAAGCATTAAATCTACAGAAAAATGCATGCGCAAGTTTAGTTTAGCTCAAGCCTTCATCTTTACAAGGTACTGTCTTCTGACATGTGCTTTTTACAGAACTGGACAGCGATTAAGGACAGCATACACTGGGAATGCTTGATGTATCACAACATTCCACCATATTTAGCATATCACAGTTACTTTTTTTCCAAGCTCTTTATTCTTGGCTTAAATGATTACTTTTCAAACTGTCCCCAACAGAACCAGGAACTGCTAGATTCATCCCTGAGCCTGTTTTAGTGAAAAGTCACCCATCTTTGGAAGCAGGAGCTTTTTCTTCCAATACCTTAGAAATAGCAGGTGCACGGTAACACAAAACTGGAAGGAACAGAAGCGCCTCACCTCAGTCTTACACAAAGACCATTTCCTTCTCAGAGCATGTAGCATAACTGCTAAAACATACTCACTGCTTGAAAGTTGAGGAAAAGTTTATGTTTAACAGTGGCTTCCTTATCAACTCGTCTCTGACAGATACTCCATAAAATGCATTAGGAAGAGTTTGCTTTATTTTATTGCACCTAATATCAAGGGATCTCCTAGAAGACATGTGGATGTAAACCAAGATTCACAGATTTCAAGCATACATCCATGAGTATGCTTTTAGCCAGAGAGTGGGCACACCAGAGATGGCTAATTACCACCCAGAAAAGATTCTGCCTTCATCTCCCCTTACTATCAGCCACTCTGCCTAACTTCACTCTCTGTCTTGCCCTGACCCTGGGGAGCCATTCACTTTCCATAGCCCAGAGAGGCTGCTGAAAAGCTGTCAAAGTAAATCTGTGCTCACTTTTTGGATGGTTTCATTTCAATGGAGCATGAAACACCCCAGGACGGTTAATAAGTTTAGCCAGGCGTGCTGTTCTCCCTAATATATTTTAATTATGCATCTGTTTTAATTGTAATCAGATAAGTCACCGGAAAGGCACAAATTGGAATTTTCCCTAATGTCTATTGGAGCTTTTCATCAGTTTCTAAACACTAACAACGTTTAAAAAATAGGTAGAGACACCAGCACAACTGTGACATTTTCCAGAAATCGATGCAGTTTCTTTGACAACACAGTTCAGGTCTCATTAGCCACCCAAACTAGCCCAAATGCAGAAGACAACTTCAGTCTCTAGGGGCGTCTTCGTCCCCAATTAGCACAAAAGAATCGCTAACGTCTAATGTAAAACTCCCAAACAGAAATCAAAGCCCAGGCTTTTATAAAGTGCTACTCCATCGATTGGTGAGGGAGGCGGGGGGAGCCAGAGTGCCCATCAGCAGCTTTATCTTGGCTCAAAGTAAAGTACCGTGCACGTCAAATGGGAAAGTTGGAGCAGAGTACAATGGTCTCCTTCCACTATTTCGGTAACTGTCAAAGGTGCGTTTTTTCCTCGGGAAATAAGTGTCCCATCAATAAAAGGAAGCGTTACGGGGAAGATCTATTAAAAGGAGAGGAGCGGCTTCCTTCCAGCCCAGACGTAAAATCGCTCAATGTGCACCAAGAAATACCGAAGACTTTTTTTTTTTTTCACTTAGTACGTTGATTAAACAGTTTCCCAAATTGCTGTGTTTTCCGCTAGGAAACTGAAGCATTTGCCAACAGCCAAAAACCAAGAGAAAGAACCTGCCGCAAACTAGGAACCCAAACTCCTTCAGCCCGCCCAGCGCGCTCGCGTCCCCGGTGTTTGCTCTGGGTGTTGTTTACGCTTCTCCTAAACCTTCAGGTGCTGGACCAGTTCCTGTGAGACGCACTTCGAGCCTTAAAGCGGGAAGCTTCCGTGCCACCGCGGAGTCCCCACGGAGCCCGTCGACCCCTTACCTGTCATCATAGCAGAAATCCGCACTCAAGGTGTTGAGATACAATGCGAGCCCCAGAGCGCTGCTCACCAACTCTGCAATCATCTCTCCACCGCCTTCCCTCCGGCTCGGCTCCCAGCGCGAGGGCAGCAGCGGCAACAAAAAACAGAAGCATCAATCCCCACCTTCTGCCGCCTTCTCCTCCCAGCTTCACTTTTTCCTAGCTCCCCACCCTCCTGTCCCTCCCTTCCTCCCTCGGGTCCTTGCAATCCGCCGCTCTCCTCCTCCTCCTCCTCCTCCTCCTCGCGCCCGTCTCCGCAGCCCCTGCGTCCTCTCCGGGTGCGGGCTCACACCACGCTCCCCATGCCCGGCGCCCGCGAGCGGCTGGAGGCTGTCGGGCTCCGCGCCCACCGGCGGATGCACAGGGCTGGTCCTTCGCACCGCTCGCCGCCCCCACCCTAACCCATGGCAGTTCGGGGCGCCCTAGGTGAGGAGTGGGACTCGGAGGAGGTGGAAGAACGCGGGATGGGGACAGAGGGGCCGGACCCAGCCGGACTCCGAGACCAGCTGGAGGAAGAGAGAGAAAGAGGGGCGGGTGGGAGGGACAAGGCGAACCGCCTCCCCTCGCCGCCTGCCGGGCGCACGGCTCCGGTGCTGCTCCGGCTGACTCCGGCTGCCACAGCGGCTGCCGCTCATTCACTCTTCAGGAGCTCCCTCCCAGCCTCAGCCCCTTCTCCGGTGAAGTGAGGCGCGGTGGCTGGAGACTCCAGAAGCTCCCGCGTGGGGCTCTCCGCGCGGCCCCCCGCGCCTGCGTGGCCAGCCCTCCATCCCGGCCTTGCCCCGCCCCTTTCCCCACCCGGATCCTCCCCCGAGGCTCCTCCCACGCTCCCCGCTGGCTGGAGGCTCCGCCCACCTCCCGCTCGGCCCGCGGCTCCTCCCTCCCACCTCCCGCCTTCCTCTGGTTTCCTTCACCTTCGATTTCACTCTGGAAAGCCCCCGGGACCCAAGGGCGACTGCTGGGAGACAGCCCGAAGGCGTAGCCGGAGTGCGCCCTGGGAGGGGGCGCTGCTAGAGAACCGACACCGAGGAGGACACGGCCGCTCGCGCCGCGGCTGCCTGGCGGCGCCTGGCACCGACCGGATCTCAGCCCCGGCGCTGACTGTGCCAGGCGCTGCCAGGCGTAAGGCCGGTCAGCCGGAGGGACTTCTGGGGACCGGGAGGGGAGGAACAGGTCTGGCGACGGCTGCGGCCCGGTGGCCGCAAACACTCCCGCGCCCTCTCCTACCCGCTCACAGCGAGTGAGTCGAAACGGGAGGGGGTACTGGAGAGCTTGGGGGGCGTCGTCGGAGGGAGAGATTTCAGCCCCGAGCCTACCGTGGCCCCGAATGTCAAGAGAAAGACGTATGGGAAACCGCAGTCAGGTTAGAAAGAAAGGACCCCCAGAGAGGAAAGAAGCACACACGAGCGCACCGCAGCTGCGGGGGCCTCTCTTGGTTTCAGGGGGACTTTCAGGCTGACTCTGGAAATAGAAGAGACGCCTCTGCAGCCCCGGTACAGCGCTATCCTCAAAACCTAGGAAGGCGGGAAGCTAATGCCCTTTCCTTTCCGCCCGGATGCAGGACTGGATGGAAGGCGTCCAACCTGATAAATTATGGTGCAGAAGAACGGTCTGTGTAGACGAGCTCTGGGTACTAAAGTTGCGAGGCCAAAGAGGACGGTGGGCTGCCTGCCACACCTCCTGCCTTGGCCCCTTTCTGGCAGAGCGATGGGCTCCGGTGGACCACGATGAACACTACTGCAGCGCCCCCTGCTGCATGGCAACCGCAATGCTTGGAAAAGACCTGTGGAGGGCGGACTCACCCCGGCCCCCTCCCCTCCGCCCTCCAAGGGAAGCGCCTAACTGCGCTTTCCAGGATTCAAATCCAGGGCAACAAGTCCAATCCTCTGGATGTCTGGCAGTGGCCTGAGAAGTAAACACAGTGGTTTGGGTGTCAGTAAAACAAAACTCCGTCTTTTCTGGATTTCACAAAAAAATCTGTGTAGACACAGATGAAATGATGAGTATTTATTATATTTAGTATGCCATGCACGATGGACCCCATTTTTGTTCCCTGAAACAAACATATGTAAAACATACAAAAAAGGGAGTTGTGTCTTTAAAGGCAGACACTGATCTTTTATCTTTTTTTTAACTCCATAATCTCTGCTCAGGATTGAAAAGTTTAAAAAATTCTGTTAATTGACACATCAAGCTCCTCTCTATCTCTATCCCTCCACTGCATTTACATGTTGAGATTGGATCCTAGCACCCTGGACGAAGAGCACCCAGGAGTTGGAGTCCTCACTGTGTTATTATTACCTGAGAATAATAGGTATTTGGCCAGTCCCTCAACCTCTTTCTGCCCCTTTTGTCTCACCTATACAGCAGTGATGAAAATAATATCTATGGGTACCATTATTATGAAGATTAAAGTAATTAAGGTTTGAAATACCTAGAAGAGTCCTAAGTGCAACAGAAGTGTTAATAATAATTATTATTATCTGCAACTTTCTCCTTTCCTTTCAGTTGTTCACTAAACCCTAGATGTATAGTTCCAAAATGTAGACCATGACCTCCACATCACCCCAACCCTAGTTCACACTGCCTTGACTTCCTGCATAGACTGAGCTTGCCCTTATTTCCAATCCTGCAATGCCCCCCCCTCCGAAGTCTAAACTTCAGGCATTAGAATATTCTTTTGAAAACCTACAATCTCTCTACTTTAAAATGCTCAATGACTTCCTGATACATATCGAACTAAACTTTCTTTTTACCATGGCCGGCCAGGCCTCCTCTGGCCCTGACCCCTCCGTACCTGTCACATTGTGCTGCGGAGCTCCAGCCAGGCAGGCCTCCTTCTCTGACGCTGTTTTCTCCTCTTCCCGCCTGGGGTGACTTCCAGACCTTCTGTAGCTCCTTCTCAGCATGCCAGTCTTAGTTCAAATGTTATCACCCAGGAGGCTTTCCCCACCCACCCTACAAAGTAGCCTCGCTCCCTGCAATCTTTGTCCCATCCTCACCCGGATGATTTTCTTGATAGCATGCGTTGTTATCTGGAATCTCCGCTAGAACGTCAGCAGCTCCCAGAGGGCGAGGATCTTATCAGCCTGGTTTTCCACATAACACCCAGAGCCTGTAACATCCGCACAGGTAGAAGAAACGAAAACAAGACAACACAAAATGTTGACAATAAATGTGCTTAGCAGAAACTATAGAGCAACCGGAAATTCACAAATGTTCGTCATGAGGGAATACGGTAATCTGAACTGTTGTCCATGGTAGAGACAGTGAAGAATTAACAAAGCAGAGAGGGAGGAAGTAGGTTAAAAGTTCTGAAGAATGCATCAGCTCAAGTCACACACAGACAGCTCTCTTCAATAATTAAGAGGACTCAGAGGCAGGAAAGTACTAGAGAGGTTTGGGTTAGCGTGCTAAAGCTTGTAAGCATTTCCAGAGTTGTCTTCACTTCCAGGCTCTAATAGTTTTAAATAAATATTTTCTACACTCCTTCTCCACCTCTTCCTTTTCTCTTCTCCCTACTCCCAACTCCTGGGAATTGGGGGGCCTGGGAGATGGTGAGAAATCACACTTTCTATCCCTGGTGAATGGAAGGCTGAAACACAGCTGTGTTGCTTTTAACAAATGTTCCTATTTTAATTTAATGTGGGTCTCAATATTCTTCTAACACATTAAACCTTGGTTGCGTTCAGACTACTCTCCCAGGGCTGAGAAGCAGCCCCTGCCTGCGTTTCCTACCTTCCTTCAACACCAAACTTGGGGGGGGTTGGGAGGTGAATCACTATCGTTAGAGATGCTTCAAATCTGGAGACATTGCTTTTCAGCGTATTAAGGTGTACCTACCATTGCAGATTGCTGCCTCTAATGAATATATATATATACATATATTCTATTTAAAGCTACTGTTAGTCTCCACAGATGAAGGAAATTAGGATGGTTGGCTTGACTTTTCTACCTTAGACATAAGACTGGCCAAAAAAGTGCTAAGCCCTTATTTTGCCAAAGTAGGTTCCACACATCTGCTACCTCACCACTTCCTCAATGAATTCTTTTTTATAGTCGCCCCGACCTACCCTGCATTTGTTCTGCATTCCCAGTCCTTTGTTGTATAATTCATACCTTTGCAGTGCCAGGTCCTGGGGGTAAAGATTTCCTTATTTGCCTAAGACATTTTTGGTTTATTGTGCAATACCATCTTCCCTTTGGGTGTTGCATAAATATTAACTAAAAATCCACATCTGGTCTTGGTCTTCATTTCTATTTGTCCTAATATAACTTCTCTTTGAACAATTCATTTGGAGAGTGTGCCAAGGGTGAAATGTGGCACATAAATTCTCCTGCTGCACAGAATGCCTTTTAAAGTGCCCACAGATTTGGTTATTTATGAACAGAAGATTTGCACCTCTTCCTTGCTCTCTCAGTTCTAAAATTGTACCAGGCCAAGGTAATTACAATCCCCCATATGTTTTGTGGAAAAGGTATCCAAGAATCTCCTGCTAAAATCTTAACAGATTGACTAGGAAGCAGAAAAATACTAGCCCAGCAGGTGAAACTGCCTGTTTAGGGAGGTCAGAACAGAGCTCTCTGCTGGGGGACTCATAAGCTCTGGGCTTTACTCAGGAAATAACCCTGCAGGAGAAAAACAGCAGAGCGTGGATGAAATGTGGGTCAGGGAGCTGAAAGAGGCACACGGGCTGCTTGGTTAACTAATGACAGTAAATGCATTGGCTACACATGTTACATTTAGATGTTCCCAGCACACCATAAAATGCTGCCCTGCGGACACTGCAATATGTAACATCGCTTTGTCCCAAAACTTGTGATCCATTAGGAATATAATTAGGACGATACAGCCACAGAAACAGATCTTGTCACCTCTGTCACAAACCAGGGGCTGTTAAGAACCAGCTACTAAAATAATGATCACTTTAAAAATCTCACTGTCTCCCAGCTTGCAATTCAGAGGATGTGGGGGTGGGGGAGGAGAGGAGGAGGAGGAGGAGGAGTGTAGAAATAACATGTTAATAACCAGATATGGGTAATTGCAGAGATGTTAAGGCTAATGATAGAATTCAGAAACTCAATTGAGAAAAGCAAGGACAGCCTCCTTCATAGAATCTCTCCAAATGCATTCACATCCACTGATATAAACAGTG